TGATTGGCTGTATCAAGGAGTGTATCAAGACTATGGTGGATCGATAGAGGATTCATCACTCCCGGGTACGAGGGGAAGTTATCTCACAACACAATTCAATAAATGGCAATGACTCTAAAACTGTGGCCACAGTGGGATTGAGTTGTTGCTCTATCCAGTTTATAATTCCGGTTATTGGACCAGTAACTGAATACATACATATCGAGAGTAACTGAGGTTGACACTATTTCTATGCCTCAGTCTCGTTGAGATAACGGATGATGAAAGGATTAGATTGTAAGGTAACCATATCGTTGACAAGTAGCTGCTTCGCTGAATCCGAATCTATCGGGTGGCCATGATGCCTTGCCAGGGGCCAATCTTGGTCTGTGTGTAGTGAGACAATTAATTGGTGTTAATCGCGATACTACACACTATCGGTATGATAAGGAGCCTACGGGTCACACACATAGAAGATAATTTAAGAACCAATTTGTAAGAAGGGTGTTTTAGTCTTTTTAGGCAAAAAATGTATTTTGGTAATTTCACAGTGTAATTAAATTTGTTGAGGTCGCAGCCTTTATTTAATTTGATATTAAAACTAAATAAGTGAGATTACGTTTAAATATGTGTTCGCATATATTTAAATAAATTATCATTATTGTTATATAAAGAAAACAACGGAGTGACAACAGATGCTCAGTAAGTAAATCTTCTGCTATAATCCCCGTGCATTACTCATCAATTCTTGTACTCTTTGCACTTCTTAATTCTAGTTCTCGCATTCTTTTCTTTTTCTATTCTCATACCATGGAGAACTATCTCACCACGCATGGACGAGATATTAAAGCATAACAATGCATTCTTTCTATTCTTTTTATTCTATTCATATCTTATTCTATCTTTGCCGGGTTTTGGGAGAGGCAGGATTCGGAACCCTTGGTCATGTGAGTGTACTCTCTCGTTGTATAGCCTAATCCACATGTAGTCTCACGACACTTACCAAATTTTTTTTTTCATCTCATCCTTCTTCGGCGGAGACCGTCTCTCTCTCATGGGGTTACATGCGGGGTAACTCTACACTCACGGCTCACATCGCATGACCTTATTTCTTTTCTTTTCGTAGCACTAATAACATTTTATTCTCTAGTGCTATTTTTCTTTCTCTTTCTTCTAAGAGATTGGGTCTTTTTTATCTTTATTATCATTTCTAGATGTGTTCTTTCTCATTTATATTTCTTTCTCATGTGATTTCAATTAACATCTATGCATAAGGATGGCTCATGCCTAATCTTTTTATATGCTTATGACATGTATAATGTGCTATGTGGCATAAAGTAAGGTTCTCTACTTCTACTCAGCTTTTTAGACATTTATCAAACAAATATGTGGTGCAAACAAAACTCTATTCTAATTTTTTAGTATACTTCTTTCTTAATCATCCAAATAGAGTTCAACCCTTTAAATCAACACACATCCTAAATAGAAAACACACTTCAATAATCCTCTCAAATTCTTCTAATTCTCCCACCTTTCCCAAAACTTATTCAAATAATCCACCTACTATGTGAAATTCTTCATAAAACCTGAACTCTTCAGAATTCATCACTCATTCAAAAATAGAAATTCAATTAAGCATAGCTACAATCTCTACACATATTCCATATACAATCACAACTTAGGTGGATTACTTACTAGCTAGGAGAAAAATCACTTAAGCTCTCATCTTGTTTTCATGGCTTGATACTTCCTCTTAACTTCAATACAAAATCTCAATAAGGATTCTATCTTTCAAAATAAACTTAACTAGAGTAAGGATTTCACCTTTGTGCGTAGGATCAACTTGTAAATTTCTTAGTCAAAGCTCTTCAAAGATCCTTGGAAAATTGAGTGAAATGTGAGAGAATTTAGTGATGAAAGAGGCGGTGGAGAAACAAGTGAAAGGGTTTCTAAGCTAAACCCTAATATATCATATTTTTCTCCACTCTTCCACAATCCCTTCCTCTTTTGAATTCATAAGACCTTCGTCTTTGCAAAAAACCCATTAAACTATTCTCCATGCAATTTCTTGCAATTCACTCCCTACTTTCCTGTACCATTATGGGGTAGAATGGTCCTTGAGTCTCAAAGGAAGAATTCTATAAATCTCAGGGACAAAATTCAGCCGGTCTTCGGTGGCGCAAGCTATTTCTTCACCCCGGCGAAAACTCACAGTAGCTACAAGGGGATGTAGCATTATCCCGCGGCGAAGCTTCTTTCAACCCGCGAAGAATGTAACATCAAGATTTCGCCAAGTCTTATAAATTTTCAGGGCAATACTCACAACCCAAACCCCTTTCAACTAAGGGATAAACAAGCATATTAACAACAATATAGACTCAGCTTGGGATGTAAGGCCCAAGACGATTTTTGGCCCATATGTTAGCTCACACTCTCCTAAGTTAAGGAGTACTTAGCTTGGAGAATAGTCTCGTTCGAGTGGAGGTAACTTGGGCCGAATGGAGGAGCCTCAACCAAGTGAAAAATCTTGGATGAGTGAAGGTGTTGTCACTTCGGTCAATCGAATCAAGTGGGATGGTGCTAGGTGTGATCTCATAAGAGTCTTCACTTGGTTCTCCAAAGAGTGGGGTGGATGTGAGACACATCCTTCATGTGTGGGCGGATCTCATAGTAAGTTGGCCGAGTGGGGGTAGGTAAGGCACCATTTGTAGTGTCCCCACTCAATAACCAAGCCGAAGGGATTTTAATTAGGTGAGACTAGTTTTGTCTTTAGTTGCAAGACAAGTAGAGGTCAAATGACAGTGCTAGGGAGAGTAGAGTACTTTGATTGAGTAAAGGTGTGTAGGCTGATGATAGAGTACCCTGATGATTGATGATGTACTTAGACCGAATGAAGGTGCTTCATGTATGGGAGGATGCAAGGTGTATCCATTGTATATGTCCCCACCGTGGTTAGCGAGCCAAGAGGGAGGATGTGAAGCGATCGTAGGTGTTCCCACTCGGTCTACCAAGCCGAGTGGAGAATGTGAAGACATCCTATGTAGGTGTCTCCACCGGTTTACTAGCCGAGGGGGAGGATTGGGTACAAACTACAGATGCGTGGCACGTGGGTTTAATCTTCATTCAGTTTTGAGCGAGAAATGAGAAGTTCCTTTTCAGCGAGTCTTGAATGTGTCCACGTTTGGCTTTTCCAGTCACAACTAGAAGGACATGTGTAGGGTTGAACCTGAGAGGTTGCTACGAGTGGGAAAGTTAAAAAACCTCGGTGGGAAATGGAAGGGTTATAATATTCAGAGGACTAGTCGACTGATGCCCTGTGTTAACTCTTCGTGGGGATGAGAAAGAGGGAAAATCGATTTTGGCGACTATTCATCCTTATTTTTTTACTTCTTCTCTTCTTCTGACGTTATCTCAATTGTGGCTTCCATTTTCTTTCATGTTCTTGTGGTTTTTAAGGCAACCTAGGCGAGATTAGGCTAGTTCTTGAAGGAGTTTAGTGCTTTGGTTTTTTGCGTTTTCTGGCATTTTTCTTGGAGTTTTGGGTTTGATTTGATTCGGAGCAAGAACTAAGTTGTGGGGGGACTTTGGTTCCAAAAAGATAAGTTTTTGAGTTGGAGACAATCTGGCAGTTTGGGTAGTTGATTTTTGGTGGTTCTCTAGGTTTCTGCAAGTAAATGATCAGATTGCGTAGTGGAAAAAGCACAATAAAATAATTTTAACAACAATTTGTCATTACTCTAAACCAAAATCGGTAATGATATAATGTTTTGCATGTTAAGAACAAATGTGTGTAAAACAACCACATCCATACAAGGATCAAATATGTTCCAACATTTGGAGGCTCCTTCAATATCTTTGATTTGATCTCGTCTCGATTCAAAGTAGAATCGCATCACGTCGTCACACGAAGATAATCCGTAGAACAAAAGAGATTTGCTAATTACTGGGCTTCAAGAATCCAGAAGAGAGAAAAAGATTTCTCTCCCAATGTCAAAAACGGGAGAGGGAGAGAAGAGGTTGCCTGGTTTATTTATTATTATTTATTTTTTAATAATGTTATATATTTAATGTAAGTTGCACCTTATATCGTGCAACAATTAAAACCTTATTCCACTTAGGAATAGTTATGGGCCTCCAACCCTAATCCACAATTGAACCAAACAACCTCTTTAATGGTATTTTAAATTTATTAATATGTTTATTAAAAATAATCTAATATATATCTATATATATATTATATATAATAGTTACTAGACCAATGGGAATAATAATTGGATTGAGCAACAACTCAATCCATGGTGGCCACAGATTTGGTGTCATTGCCATTTATTGAATTGTACAGTAAGATAACTTCTCCTGTACTTGAGAGTGATGAATCCTTTGTTGAGCCATCATAGTCTTGTACACTCACTATTAGCACATCACTACCATATTGATAGCTCTGAATAGAATCGTTAGGCTAGTGTTAAACTACCACCCGATGCACAAGGCGGTCCGGTGATCTCAAGTCTAAGGATTACATGCCAACACTATTATAAGGTTATTCCATAGACATGGGGTTACCATCCATATTGAATCTCTGGGGGTCTGTCCATGAACTGCCTATAACAAGCACCAATGTGTTACACCAGGTTGCGGTAAAACAACCTTGACAAGTGAGATTAGTCATTGTCTTTAACAGGGTAGTTCAACACTATGGTAGCCTTACCGTAGTATCTGTGTCCTTAGTTACTAATCGGGGTAGGACATTTCTAGAATGATCCCCAATGTGATCATAGGGTTCACTATCAGATTTGAAACACTTGAACCCTCGTCATGGTTCTACATCCTAAGGACATATATCAACAAATATAATTATGATCTGCATGATATGGTAGAAATTGCCTTATGATTAATAACATTTTACTAAGAGTCAATTCTACAATAATCGATTGCTTAGGTCACCTACTCTAACAATCTCCCACTTGACACTATAGACAATCTTCAGTATCAACACGCTGAAACCCTAAGGGAGATGAAGATGGAAACTGTCCGAAACCATCAAGCACTCCAGATAAAATACTGGGTGGCTTCTGTGCATTCAATTTTACATCAGGGCCAGCGGCTGGTAAATTTTGATGGGACCGACAACCTGATTATAGTGCTTATCGCGAAAGTAGCTTTGGTCATGGTATTCTAGAGGTCTGTCTCACGCTCTGTCTCTTTGCCTCGCACGCACATAATACACAAAACTCAATATTTCCAAATTCCAGATTAATTTCTCCTAGTACCTGGTGATTTAATTTAGGTATATATCTTAGTTACTCAATGCGTTGCTCTGTAAGTAACAAAAGGGTTTAGACATTATGATTCTTTAAACAATGCTTAAGAATGAAAAGTTTATTTCCAAGGTGAATGCAAGCAGCAGAGATTTGAAATCAATAACATTCTAAGTTTATGGTTCCATTCCATTCAACATTACAACTTGCTATTCCTTAGACATCCTGTATTAGACTTCCAAAATACTTGATATATGGAAGTTTCAGTTGAAATAGTTCTATATTGACATTGAATATTCTGAATAGTAATGGCAATACGTGGGTTGCAGGTGAAAAATGAGACTCATGCTTTGTGGACATGGCATCGGAATCAGGACTTGTATGACAATGCTGGAGATATAATTTATATAGTGAGACAACCTGAGAGGTGCCCAGCTGAGGCAAAGGTAAACAAAAACAAGCTTTAGATTCATTGCATTTCCAACTTCAATGAAACTAGCTAGCTATAGCCCCTGAGCCTAAACCAGTTCTAGATGAAAAACAAAATCAGTAATGTATACATAACTCCCATTAAATTCAACAAGAAAAGCCTTATATGTTGCAGCAATTATCTTGCATTATGTTATATTTAATCATATGAATGTACCTGATTAGCAGATTAACAATGGAGAGTATGAAAAAAATGCAATGTTTAGCATCACCTAAGTTCATAAAGGTCGATAATTTCACATTATATTATCAGCTAATTTGTTAAAATGTTTCCCTAAAATAGTTATTATTATTATTATTATCATTTGGATTTGATGATGCTCAGACATAGAGACACAAAGAACAAGGCATAGTGATAGAGAAGACACCGGAAAACGTACAGCATCGAAGCAATATTTGGTTATAATCTTTTAAATTTTATTTGCTATATTTAATCAAATGTTTGATTAATTTGTGAAATTAGAAATAAATAATCCGTTATTGATATACAACCTTCTTGTATTAAATGGCTCTTTCTATTTTTGGTTGATTTTAATGCCAATTAGTAAAATATTTTGCTTGTTTGTCATATAAGGAGAAAATCAAAATGAGGACACATGATTATAAAACAGTTAACAATGAACACAAGTTTCAAAAAGACAAAACTAGGACACTTAATAGTAATTTAACCAAAAAAAAAAAAAAAGGGAGTTGTGAACTTATGATATGCACAAGTTTGTTATTTATACCCACATTTATTATCTTTTATGATATTGACCATTATGATATGGTTTCAAAATATACAAAATAACTATTTACCTTTTTTAATTAATAAAATTCCAAATTAAAAATTATTTCAGCTATGTTGTTGTAGATAGTAAAAATCTAGGTTACGAAAAAGGACTGCTCTTGCGAGGTTGAGGCCACTGATAATCTGCTGAACTTGCACACACAAAAAAACAAGCGCAAAACTTACGTAAAACACCAGTGTGGTGTATGCCATAGACACTCCGATGCTCAAGTCAACAAGTTTGAAAGAGGCTATTTAGTGAGGGCTAAAGGGAGGAAAGGTTACTAAAGTCTGATCGAAGACTAGAGCTATGACAAAGGTGTATAGTTCTTAAGAGCAAGAACTTAAGAGCTAGTAGGTGGTATTGAATAATGGATGTTTAATAAAAGGCAAGACCTTTGCTTATATAGTGGACATAGGATCTTCAAATCCTAGTAGGACTCTCAGTCCATAATAGTTGATTTCTAGTAAATAGAAAAGACTTGATTTACTTACCTTCTTAGAAGTAAGAGTCCTAATTCATACAAGATTCAGGATCTTAGATGAATTAGGATGTAGATGAAAATAGGAAGTGGATGAGGTAGGGTTTAAGTAGAACTCTGGGTTCTTGGAATGATCTTGGATCGATGGGTCTAGACCCAAGTGGACTGGTGATGAGGCCTAATTGGTGGCAAGGCCTTAATATTTTGAGAATCTCACTGGTTAATTGTTTGGTTGGTGAAATGTGTTGGCCCATACTATGGATCTTGGCATAGGCCTAATCTGTAACAACTTATTTCTACTATCATATTTATAAAATATATCAATAAAAAGACCAGTATATTTATCAAAAAGGTTGGGTCCAAAAATTTTCTTTACTTAATAAATACATTCTTTACATAGTACAACATCATTTGTACAAAAGACTCTCAAAAAGACAGTGAACAGTGCAGCCAAGTCTCCCCGCTTGCCGACGTCCATCTGACCAGGTCCTCACCTATGTCCTGTACAACAAAGAAAACAACGGAGTGAGCACAAAGATGCTCAGTAAGTAAATCTTCTATGCTATAATCCCCGTGCATTACTCATCAATTCTTTTCGTACTCTTGTCACTTTCTCTAATTCTAGTTCTCGCTATTCTTTTCTTTCTTTCTATTCTCATCACCCATGGAGAATATCATCACCACGCATGGACGAGATATTAAAGCATAACAATGCATTTTCTTTCTATTCTTTTCTTATTCATATTCATATTCTTATTCTTATTCTTTGCCGGTTTTGGTCGATGCATGGATTCGGAACCCTTGGTCATGTGAGTGTACTCTCTCTCGTGTATAGCCCTCATCCACATGTATTCTCACGGCTATACAAATTCTTTTTCTCATTCTCATTCCTCTCTCTCATGGCGGAGACCGCTCTCTCTCTCATGGCGGTTTACATGCGGGTAACTCTACACTCACGGATCCCCCATCACAAGACATATTTTCTTTTCTTTTCTGTAGCACTTAATAATCATTTTATTCTCTAGTGCTAGTTCTTTCTTTCTCTTTATTCTAAGAGAATTGGTTCTTTTCTTTATCTCTATTCTTAGAGTGTTTCTTTCTCATTTCTCATATTTCTTTCTCATGTGATTCAATCAATGGTAACTACTGATGCATAAGGATGGCTCATGCCTAAAATCTTTTTATATGCATCAGACATGTAAATGTGCTATGTGGCATAAAGTAAGGTTTCTCTACTTCTACTCATGCTTCTTTTAGACATTTCATCAAAAATAGTGTGCAAACTAAACCCTATTCTAATTTAGTCATATTCTTTCTTAATCATCCAAAATAGGAGTTCACTCCTTTAAATCATCCACAAATCTACATAGAAAACACACTTCAAAATTCCTCTCAAATTCTTCTATTCTCTCCACATTTTCCAAAAACTTATCAAACATAATCACCCTACTCATGGTGGGAATTCTTTCATAAAACACATTGAACTCATTCATGAATTCATCAACTCATTTCAACTAGAAATTCAGCATTAAGCATAGCTAAAATCTCTACACATCATTCACATATACAAATCACAACTTAGGTGGATTATTACCTTAAGCTCAAGGAGAAAACACTAGCTCTCTACTTTTGATGGCTTGATACTCCTCTTAAACCTTCAATACAAACTCAATAAGGATTCTACTCTTTCAAAAAAAAAAACTTACATCTAGAGTAAGGATTCTCACCTTTTAGTGCTTAGGATAAACTTGTAACAATTTCTAGTCAAAAGTCTTCAAAGATCCTTGGAAAATTGAGTGAAAATTTGAGAGAATTGAAGGATGAAAGAAGGCGGTGGAGAAGAAATCAGTGAAAGGGTTTCTAAAGCTAAACCCTTAAATATCTCATATTTTCTCGCACTCTATCCCAATATACCCTTGCTCCTTCTTTGAAATTCCACTTAAAGACCTTCATTCTTTGCAAAAACAACCCATTCAAACTATTCTCCCATGCAATTTTCTTGCATTTCAACTCCATTTTCCGCTAATTAGGGTGGAATGGTCATGAGTCTCCAAAAGGAAGAATTCTCTAAATTCAAGGGACAAATTCAGCCGAGTCTTCGCCGTGGCGAAGCTATTTCTTCACCCCGGCGAAAACTCACAGTAGTACACGGGGATGTAGCATTCATCCCGCGGCGAAGCTTCTTCTTCACCCCGCGAAGACTGTAACATCAAGATTTCGCCAGTCTTATAAATTTTCAGGGAAGCACTCAAACCAAACCAAAAACACCTTTCAACTAAGGGTAAACCAAGCATATTAAAACATATAAGACTCATGCTTGGGCATGATAAGGCCCAAGACGATTTTTGGCCATATAGTTAGCTCACACTCTCTAAGTTAGGAGTACTTAGCTGGAGAATAGTCTAGTTCGAGTGGAGGTAACTTGGGCCGAATGAGGAGCCTCAAACCAAGTGAAAATACTTTGGATGAGTAAGGTGTTGTCACTTCGTCAATACGAATCAAGTGGGGATGTGCTAGGTGTGATCTTCATAAGAGTCTTCACTTGGTTCTCCAAACGAGTGGGTGGATGTGAGACACATCCTTCATGTGTGCTGCAGGTATCTCCACTTGTTTAGTTGGCGAGTGGGAGGATGTAAGGCAATCATTGTAGGTGTCCCCCTCAATTAACCAAGCCGAAGGGATTTTTAATTAGGTGAGTAGATTTTGTCTTTAGTTATTGCAAGCACAAGTAGAGGTCAAATGACAGTGCTAGGCCGAGAGAGAGTACTTTGATTGAGTAAAGGTGTAGGCTGAATGTAGTACCCTTGAATGATTGAGATGTACTTAGAACGAATGAAGGTGCTTCATGTCATGGGAGGATGAAGGTGTATCCATTGGTATATGTCCCCACTCGGTTAGCCAGCCAAGAGGGAGGATGTGAAGCGCATCCTGTAGGTGTTCCCCTGGTCTACCAAGCGCGTGGGAGAATGTGAAGACATCCTAGTAGGTGTCTCCACTCGGTTTACTGAGCGAGTGGGAGGATTTGAGGTACAAACTTACAGATGCGTGGCACGTTAGGGTTTAATCTTCATTCAGTTTTGAGCGAGAAATGAGAAGTTTCCTTTTCCAGCGGTCTTGAATGTGTCACGTTTGGCTTTCCAGATCACAACTAGAAGGACATGTGTAGGGTTGAACATGAGAGGTTGCTACGAGTGGGAAAGTAAAAAACCTCGAGTGGGAAATGGAAGGGTTATAATATTCGAGGACTAGTCGACTGATGCCATGTGTAAACTCTATCAGTGGGTATTAGAAAGAAGGGAAATTGCATTTTGGCGACTATTCATCTTCCTTATATTTGTTTTACTTCTCCTTTCTTCTGAAGTTATCTCAATTGTTGCTTCCATTTTTTTCTTCATGTTCTTTGTGGTTTTAAGGCAACCTAGGCGAGATTAGGCTAGTTTCTTGAAGGAGTTAGTGCTTTGGTTTTTTGCGTTTTTTGGCATTTTTCTTGGAGTTTTTGGGTTTGATTTGATTCGGAGCAAGAAACTAAGTTGTTGGGTGGACTTTGGTTCCAAAAGAGTAGTTTTGAGTTAGGAGAACCATTCTTGGCAGTTTGAGGTAGTTGATTTTCTGTGGTGGTTCTCTAGGTTTTCTGCAAGTAAATGATCAGATTAGCGTAGTAAAAAAGCACAATAAAATAATTTTAAACCAATTTTTCATTCTCTCACCCAAAATCCGGGTAATGATATAATGTTTTTGCATGTATATGAACAAATTTGTGTAAAAACCAAATCCATACAAGGATTCAAAATATGTTCCAACATTTGGAGGCTCCTATCTTTGATTTGATCTCGCTCTCGATTCAAAGTGAATCGCACTCACGTCGTCCACACGAAGATAATCCGTAGAACCAAAGAGATTTGCTAGATTCACTTGAGGCTTCAAGAATCCAAGAAGAGAAAAAGGATTTTCTCTCCACCAATGTCAAAAACGTGAGAGGGAGAGAAGAGGTTGCCTAGGTTTATTTATTTATTATTATTATTTATAATGTTATATATTTTTAATGGTAAGGTCACTTATATCGTGCAACAATTAAAAACCTTATTCCACTTAGGAATAGTTATGGGCTCAACCCTAATCCACAATTGCAACCAAACACCTCTTTAATGGTATTTTAAATTAAATTAATTATTATGTGATTAAAATCAATTAAATATATATATTATATATATATATATAGA